CCTATTAGGAACATATAATTATGAGAAGAGTTTGTAGTAGATACTTTTCATTATGAAAGGTACAGAGTATGAAATAATGACAAATAATACTCACCCATTGGTATTTTTGTGAAATGGTTTTAAAACACCAACTAAAGGAATTTTACATTTCAGTGACACAAACTGATTATTATATATGTCTGCTCTCATTTGATTATAGTTGTGCAGATATGATGACAACACATCATTAAAGTTAACATGTCATTACAATGACAGGGCAGTTTGAAGCTGCAAGACTACAAATATGTTGGTTAATGTGACTTTATATACAGTCTGCTATTTTTTTTTCCCTCTTTGGCCTATCCCTTTTTAATTGCTTCTCTACTACTCCCTTATCTAACAGAAGGACAAGTGTCTGGACAATACTATTTGAAAATTGGCTCTAAATTTCATAAAGAAAAGTTTAGAAATATTTTTTTCTTTCAAAGTCCTAGTTTAAACTGAAGCAGAATTTAAAGCCAGTCATAAAATACATAAATTATGTGACAGAAATCAATTTAGGTAAGATAAAAATGGCTACGCCATTTCTGGACTCACCTTCACCCATTGGTCTGGTTTGACATTTTTCAAAACCACATTCATCTCTGGCTTGTCCATTAGAATTTTCAGTTTGGCTTGGTTGGAATCTTCGCTAGTAGAGATTGTGATAGGAACCATCCACTGAGGATAGTCTTCTCCTAAGCAAAAGAAGAAGAAACAGAAAACTTAAAAAATAATTTTGCACTGAAAGAAATGAAAGGTAAAGTGGAGAGAGAGGACTGGTGTTGTCCTAACTAGGGGCTTGAGTCTAACTGTTAGGCCAATAGCACATTCTTAGTGGTACATAAACTCTTCCATGAAACCTGAATAATGTTAGTGCAAAGGAAGAGACAGTTTACTAACAAAACCACAATAGTCTAAAAAACAACAAAAAAAGGACAGTTAACTACTTGTAGAATCACAAATGCAATTATTTTAACTTAATTGCTCTTTTCCCTTTACAAAGCCATAGAGACAGCAATGATTTCACTGTTAAAATCTGAGTAAGTGGCCAGGTGTGGTGGCTCACGCCTGTAATCCTAGCACTCTGGGAAGCCGAGGCAGGAGGATTGCTTAAGCTCAGGAGTTTGAGACCAGCCTGAGCAAGAGCAAGACCTCTCTCTACTATAAACAGAAAGAAATTAGCCAAACAACTAAAAAGAGAAAAAAAATAGCCGGGCACGGTGGCACATGCCTGTAGTCCCAGCTACCGGGAGGCTGAGGCAGGAGGATCACTTGAGCCCAGGAGTTTGAGGTTGCTGTGAGCT